CCGGAGCACGGCCGACGCCTGGAACGCCTGGCCAGGGCGCTTTTCCCAGGCAGTGCGCGGGCCTGTGAGGCCTTCCTGCGGCACAAGGTGGCGCTCATCTCGCCCACCGTGCTCAGGGAGAATGGCATTCCCTTCAGTCGGATCACCCAGGAGGCTGGCGAGTTCATGGTGACGTTCCCCTTTGGCTACCACGCTGGATTCAATCATGGCTTCAATTGTGCGGAAGCCATCAATTTTGCCACCCCTCGCTGGGTTGATTATGGCAAAGTGGCGTCTCAGTGCAGCTGCGGGGAGGCCAGGGTCACGTTTTCCATGGACGCCTTCGTGCGCATTCTGCAACCCGAGCGCTATGAGCTGTGGAAACAGGGGCGAGACCGGGCAGTCGTGGACCACACGGAGCCCACGACGCTGGCCAGCCCGGAGCTGACCGCCTGGCAGGAGGTCCGGGAATCTCTGACAGCAGCACGGGGCCTTAGGCACCTTCCGCCCCGCCGGGCCCCGCGACCCCCCAGTCCTGTGGCCTCCAGAGATAGCTCCCGCCTCTGCGCCTCTGGGCGTCGTGCTCCCTGGCTCTCTTCCTCCGCTTGCAGCCCTACTGTACAGCCTGAGGAGGCTGCTTCCGCCACCACCACTGCCACAGCTCCAAGCTCCGTGAAGCCCGGCCTGACAGCGATGCAGGCGATGTCGATCCTGGGTCCGTTCACTCCACATCTCCAGCCTTCACCTGGCAGAAGAGGTGGTGGTCCTGGTCGTCGTCTTCGGGAATCTGAGGATGAGGAGCAGACTGTCCAGGTCCTGGCCAAGAGGCACACAGCACGCATAGTTCTGGGCCCCAAGGCTCAGCCCCTAGCTGGGAATGGACCTTTGATAGAAGACCCTGCGCCTGTGAGTCCTGGACCGCAGAATCTTGCTAAAGCTTCTGGGTGCTGTGGCGCCCCTTGCCTTCAACCCTTGGCACTCCCACTGGATCCTGATGCTCTGATGCACCCCGGCCCATGCCTGCCGTCACCGGACACCATTACAGTGAATCTCCCTGACATTGTTGCACCTACTCCTCCCAACGCCCTTGTGGCTCTGATAGAACTCCCCAGTGATGCACCTGGGGACTGCACAACTTCTGTGAACCTGCTCAAAATTATCGCCATGGACCACTCTTACGCCTCTAAGATCCTGCCCCCAGCTGAGGTTGACAAAATCTCCTGCAGTCCTGACTGTGATCCCTGGGGACAAACTAAATAGATGTAGCTGCACCTCTGAGTCCTGAGATGTGTCCACCACAATGGGTGTTCTTAAGCCTCTGGGCTTAAAGAAGGGCCATTGAAAATGTGGTTGTGCCTTTGACACTCCCAACCTCAGGAACTTTGGAAGCTGCCATCCAAGCTCCAACTTGACACTGGAGCTCTCCTGTGAAGACCCTTTTACTTCCAGGAAGTGGCACATTTCCAGGCTGCCTGATGCTTTCTCATACTATGATGACCAAGGCTACCAGTGGCCACTGAAGTCGACCTCCCCACCCCTAAGACTGCCATAGATGTTGTGGTACCTCTTAGGGACCCTCAGACCACTCCTGGACATTTATGTGTCTGTGTCCCCTTCCATGGCCTGGATGTCATGCACAATGCTTGTCTGATCTCATCTTCAGGATACCTCCCCTGCCTAGTATGTCCCTAAACTCATTGCTGTCTAGTTCATTGGACCATTTGTTCTCAGATAAATGATTTTAACTTTATTGATGTTTTCATGTTTATTAAATTCATTATTTTTAGTGTGTATCTGCCAAGGAAAGTAAAGTCCTCATAATATATTTTAAAAATCAGAATTATATAAAAGAGATATATTTAAAACAAAGTGACTCATCACCTATCCAGAGACCAGAAGAACTAGACGGTGCCCAGCTACCCCTACTGACGCTTCTGACTGGGGCCACAATAGATGGTCTAGCATAGAATGGGAGTAAATTATAAAACAAAATAGAAAGTCTTTAATTAAAAGTTCAGACTACTGGATAGGTAGAGACTGGGGAGACTATTGTCTAAACTTTGATCTGAATTTTCTGGCAGTCAACTTTCAAGTAAACAACCAATTGTCTCATAAAATAAACAATATCACTGGTGACTACTGCATTTCATATACATATATATATATATATATATCCTCTATTTGAGACCCAACAGTCAGTATTTACCCTAAAGCAAAGATGAGAAGTCCATGGGGTGGGGACAGGGAAGCAAGAATAATGGAAATGGAACAACCAGAATGAAAATAATGAGAATGTTGAAGAAATGTGGAAAATGTAACCAATGTCACTGAACAATCTATGTAGAAATTGTTAAACAGAAACCTAATTTGCTGTGTAAACTTTCACCAAAAACTCAATAAAATATTTTTTAAAAAACAGTATAACTAATAAATCAATAAACAGCTCCAATAATATGGATACTTTTCTAGGAAAGTTTATTTTACTAAAACCGATTCCAGAAGAGATAGAAAATCTAAAACATAAATCTCTATGTAAGAAATAGGGAAAACTATCAATAGATCTACCTCTTTGAAATCACTAGGAGCTATTCACAGGGAAATTTTGTGAAAATGTAAAAACATTTAAAAAAAGTTTCCAAATTTATTTAGACATCTGAAAAGAAGAAAAATTTCCAACTTTTAAAAACAGCATGCATTGATAAAAAATCTGACCTATTGCACAAAGAGAGGAAATTATAGACAAAGCTTATTTTTGAACACTGATGCAAAAATTCTTAATTAGATATTAACTAAGAGAATCTAATTACATTAAAAGAATAATAAAGAATGTGTAAATTGGCCAAAGCTAAGAAGTTTCCTGAATACAAGCAAACACTTTGAGAGACAGAGTAGCAGGAGTGGGGGTCTGGGGACAATGATTTCAGGTGACATCTAGGTCAATTGGCATAACAAAGTTTATTAAGAAAATGTTCTGCATCCTACTTTGGTGAGTGGCATCTGGGGTCTTAAAAGCTTGCAAGCAGCCATCTAAGATGTATCAATTGGTCCCAACCTACCTGGAGTAAAGGAGAATGAAGAACACCAAAGATACAAGGAAAGTATTAGCCCAAGAGACAAAAAGGGCCATATAAACCAGAGACTTCAACAGCCTGAGGCCAGAACTAGATGGTGCTCGGCTACCACCAATGACTGCCCTGACAGGGAACACAACAGAGAGTCCCTGATGGAGCAGGAGAAAGGTGGGATGCAGAACTCAAATTCTAGTAAAAAGACCAGACTTAATGGTCTGACTGAGACTGGAGGAACCCCAGAAAGCATGGGCCCCGGATTCTCTATCAGCCCAGAACTAAAACAATTTCCGAGGACAACTCTTCAGACTAAGATTGGAATGGACTGTGGGACATAAAATGATACTCGTGAAGAGTGTGCTTCTTAGCTCAAGCAGATACATGAGACTAAATGGGCATCTCCTGTCTGGAGGTGTATATGAAGGCAGAGAGTGTCAGGAGCTGGTTGAACGGACATGGGAAATCCAGGGTGGAAAGGAAGAGTGTGCTGTCTCTGTATAGGGAGAGCAATTAGGGTCAGATAACAATGTATGCATACATTTTTGAATAAGAGACTAATCGGAGATGTAAACTTTCACTTAAACTACAACAATAAACAAACAAACAAAAATCCCCCCAAACAAAAAGAATGTGTAAATTAGGTTTATTGCAGAAATGCAATGATGGTTCAAATTAAGAAATCTAGTGATATAATTTATCCTATGAATACATTAAAAAAAAAGAAGTTGCAAATACACTTTTTCAACAACATAAACAGTGACAGTACTCAAACTGACTACATCTGTGGAAAGAGATGATGGAAAAGCTCGGCAACATCAGTCAGAACAAGGCCCGGGGCTGACTGCAGAACAAACCATCAATTCCTCTTATATAATAAGTTCAAGTTGAAGCTTAAGAAAATTAAACCAAGTCCACGAGTGCCAAAGTATGACCTTGAGTATATCCCACCTGAATTTAGTACCATCTCAAGAATAGATTTGACGCATTCAACACTAATGACCAAAGACCAGACAAGTTGTGGGATGACATCAAGGACATCATACATGAAGAAAGCAAAAGGTCATTAAAAAGACAGGAAAGAAAGAAAAGACCACAATTTACATCAGAAGAGACTCTGAAACTTGCTCTTGGCAGTAGAGTAGCTACAGCAAATGGAAGAAATGGTGAAGTAAAAGAGCCGTACAGGAGATTTTAAAGGGCAGCTAGAGAAGACAAAGAAAATTATTATAATGAAATGTGCAAAGACCTGGAGTTAGAAAACCAAAAAGGAAGCAGCTCAGCACTTCTCAAACTGAAATAAAGAAAATATTCAAGCCTCAAGTTGCAATATTGAAGGATTCTATGGGCAAAATATTGAATGATATATGAAGCATCAAAAGAAAATGGAAGGAATACACAGAGTCAATATACCAAAAAGAATTGGCTGACATTCAACCATTTCAAGAAGTAGCATATGATCAAGAACCGATGGCACTGACGGAAAAAGTCCCAGCTTCACTGAAGGTGTTGGCAGAACACAAGGCTCCAGGAATTGATGGAATATCAATTGAGATGTTTCGAAAAATGGATATAGTGCTGGAGGTGCTCACTTGTCTATGCCAAGAAATTTGGAAGACAGCTACCTGGAAAACCTCCTGGAAGAGATCCATATTTGCGCCCATCCAAAGAAAGGTGATCCAACAGAATGCAGAAATTATTGAACAAAATCATTAATATCACAGGCAAAGAAAATTTTAATGAAGATAATTAAAAATGTTTTATTGACTATTCAAAAGCATTCAAACGTGTGAATCATAACAAATTGTAGATAACATTGAGAAAAATGAGACTTCCAGACACTTAATTGTGCTCATGTGGAACCTGTGCATAGACCAAAAGGCAGTCTTTTTAACAGAACAAGGGGATACTCATGGTTTATAATCAGAAAAGGCATGTGTCAGGGTTTTATCCGTTCACCATACTTATTCTGTTTGTATGCTGAAAAATTAATTGGGGAAGCTGGACTACATGAAGAAGACTGTGGCATGAGGATTGTTGGAAGACTCATTAACAACCTGTGATATGCAGATGACACAACATTGCTTGCTGAAAGTGAAGAGGAGTTGAGGCACTTTCTGATGAATATCAAAGACTACAGCCTTCAGTATGGATTACACCTCAACATAAAGCAAAAATCTTCACAACTTGGCCAATAAGCAACATTGCAGTAAAATGGAGAAAATATTGAAGTTGTTGAAGGATTTCATTTTACTTGGATCCACAATCAACTCCCATGGAAGCAGCAGTCAAGAAGTGAATTACTTATTTTATTGGGCAAATCTGCTGTAAAAAATCTCTTAAAAATGTTAAAAGAAAGATATCACTTTGATAATTAAGGTGCTTGACCCTAGTCATGATATTTTCAATCACCTCATATGCATGTGATAGCTAGATAATGAATAAGACCAAAGAAGAATTGATGCCTGTCTTAGTTATTTAGTGCTGCTATGACAGAAATATCACAAGTGGATGGCTTTAACAAAGAGAAATTTATTCTCTCACAGTCCAATGGGCTACAAGTCCAAATTCAGGGCTTCAGCTCCAGGGAAAGCCTTTTGCTTCTCTGTCGTGTTTGGAGGAAGTTCCTTGTCATCAATCTTCCTCTGGACTAGGAGCTTCTCTGTTCAGGAGCCCTGGGTCCAAAGGATACACTCTGCTGCTTTCTTGGTGGTAGGAGGTTCCCATGTCTCTCCGCTTGCTTCTCTCTTTTATATCTCAAAAGAGATTGGCTTAAGACGCTACCTAATCTTATAGATCTCATCAATATAACTGCCACTAATCTACCTTATTACATCATAATGATAGGATTTACAACACACAGGGAAATCACATCAGATGACAAAATGGTAGACAATGAAACAATATTGGGAATCATGACTTAGCCAAGTTGACAGATATTTCTGGAGGACACAATTCAGTCCATGACACTACCTTTGAATTATGGTGTTGGTGAAGAATATTGAATATATTATGGACTGCCAGAAGAACAAACAAGTCTGTCTTGGAAGAAATATAGCCAGAGTGCTCCTTGGAAAGGAGAATGGCAAGACTTCATCTCATTTACTTAGGACATGTTATCAGGAATGTGCAGGCCCTGCAGAAAGACCTCATGCTTGGTAAGATAGAGGGTCAGTGAAAAAGAGGAAGACCCTC